GCAGTGACTGTGCTCGCACCTGAAGCAAATGAGGGAGACACCTGTGCTGAGGACGGTTCTGAAGTTCAGGTGTTTGGCTCTCAGCCTAGCTGCTGTGCAACCTCTAGTGGGAACCTGTCTGGTCTGTCACTACCTAGGAGAGCAGTATGTCAGACCATTCCTCCAGAAGGTCAGAAGGTGGCGAAGAGCAGAGGAGAGATGAGCAGAGGAAGGAGAGCAGGTGTGAGGGCCCTCGGAGCCCCCAGTGTGAGCTGGAGAAGATGCAGGAAAAGGAGGTGCAGACGGAGGGAGGCTTCAGAGGGGCCTCCGCAGAATTCCAACCATCGTGTCCCGGGGGTGAGAGCGCTGACGGCCCCTCGGGGTGATGAAAGGCTTTCGTGAGGCTCCAGATATTAATCATCTGCAGTTGCCAGGAACATCTCCCTCTGCGAGGGAGCATTTGAGATTATTGCTTAATTAACAAGGTTTATAATGGTGCTAATGTGTCCTATTAAGAAAGTTATAAAAATTAACCAGAACTTAGTGCTGGGCTCCTCGGGAAAACGCTGACACTCTGCAGAAGGTCACTTGACCTCAATAAGGTTGCACTGTCATTCTGGAGCTTGTCCCGCCCTCCTGCTTTCATCTTCCTAAAGCAGGGTCAACGGCCATGCCATCCCCTGCTATCCAGGAAGAAATGATTCTAAGATCAGAGAAGAGAAAATTCTCACCAACCCTGTGAGCGTCAAAGCTTTTGTCATTTTTATACCACACACGTGGCTGAATGTGATAAAATTATACAAAATAAATACAATCTCAATCCAGCAGACAGCTTGCATGGGCAAAGCCAGTCAAATGCAATCTGGGAGAGCTCGATTAGGACCGAAATGGTGAGTGTGTGGTGGGATGGGAGAGAGCCCTCACACCTGCCTGGCTGCAGTAAGTCAATCAACCAGCAATGTCTTTTAGTAAGACAGGTACTGGGGGCAAGGCACACTGCCAGCTCGGTCTGCTCGGCTCTGGTCTGGCCAGTGAAGGCCTTGGGCAAGTCAATTTCCTTTCACTGGCATGCCAGGCCAGCACTTCTCGGCTCAAAGGGGTTGCTGAGCCAGGCTCCCAGGAGGCAAAGACACAGTCAGAAGAGAGGAGAGGCAGGCCCAGGGCACTCTGGACTAAGAGGCTTTGTGAAGGAAGGTTCTCTCAAGCAGACCTGGGTGGTGAGTAGCAGAGAGCCGGGCAGAGCCGCATGGGTGGAGAGTGGGGAGTATGACCTGTGTCCCAGGCACTGGGAAAGCATCTGCACATTCCCTAACGTGAGAGAGAATAGGCTTGTTCAGGGAATGCGGTAGTTCATATGGCAAGAACTTAAGAGTTCGAGAAAATACTGCTGAGAAATAAGACCAGCGCTACAGCCAGCGGCCACATTATGATGGTGCTGGTGTGACACATTAAGCAGCTTACCCTTCAATAATGGCTATGACAGGTGATGGTAACGAGATCATATTTTTGTTTCCAAAAGATCATGCAGTTACACAATGGAGAGAAGGGTCTGGAAGCTGCTGGAGCAGTGCAGGGAGAAGTGGTGTGGCCTGGACTATGAGGGGGCAGGGGAATGGAGAGGACAGTGTAAGAGGTACTGGGGGCAGAACAGAAGGGGAGTGAGGCATGTGGAGGGATCAAGGATGAGGCATCTCAGGGTCCCTGGCTGGTGGTGCCATTCATCAAGATGGGGCACACAGAGGGCAGAGGCTGAGGGGAAAGCCGGAGGAGAGAGCAGTGAGTGGGCAGCTTTGCCAAGGCCATGGGACACCCATGAGGAGATGGCCAGTGGGCACCTGGATCGGTGAGTCAGGAACTCAGAAGTATGGACTGAGGTCAAATACAGATTTAGGAGTCATCTTTCATTGGCTCAATAAATGGTTACTGAGCACTTAATAGATGCTAGCCCTCAATAATCTGCCATAAAGCTCATGTTTTAATGGGTGTGGGGGAGAAGGACAATTTCAAGTAAATAAGCAAGTAGGAAATGCTATGCAGACATTTTAGGGTGATATGAGAGCAAGGAAAGGCTGCACTGGACCAGGCAGCTGGGGCAGGGTTCCCTGAAGGACAATGAGGAGGACAAGCAGATGGGAGAAGGGCACTGCTGGCAGTGGGATCAGGAAGGCAATGGAAGAAGGCCTGTGTGGTTAGTGCACAGGAAGAAATGAGAAGTGGTGGTTGGAGGGGTCGGCAGGCATCGGCCAGAATAACAGCCTGGGTTTCACCCCAGGACCATGGGCTCACTGAGGCAGTGGGAACAAAGGGCCATGAGCTGGGCTGAGGGAAGCTTTGTGGACTGAGTGAGAAGAGGGTTGGAGACAGAGGAGAGGGCAGCAGAGGAAGGAGCCCACTGGTGGAGGAGAAGCAGACAGGCAGGAGGGAACCTGACCATGCAGTCTTTGTTCCTCTCAGTCAAGGAGGCGTGGTCAGGTCCCGCAGTGCTGGGAGGAGGTGAAAGATGTGCCCTGGCTTAGTAAGCAGAAGTCACTGGGAAAGCTGGCAAGGGCAGATTAAGCAGAGGGCTGGGTGTGGAGGCCCATGGCAGGGGAGTTGCAAGTGGACACAGGCAGTGAGTATGGGTAACTCTTGCAAGAAACCTGCATGTGAAAAGGAAGAGAGATGTGGTGGCAGCTGGGTGATTGGCGGTGGCCTCTGGGGGAGCGTTTTGTTTGTTTTTGTGAATGAGTGATCAAAAGTATATTTAAAATCTTGCTGGGAAAGGAACCTGTAGAACAGGAATATAATTGGAGGAACGGGGTACTCAGGAAAGGCAGGTGGGCTAGGGTACAGATGAAAAGAATGCCCAGCCCCAAGTACGAGAAGGAAACTCCTCTTTCAGGACACGGACAAGAGGCAGGAGAATGGGGGCTCCAGGTGAGCCTGCAGGTGTGGCATAGCACATCCTCTGAGTGGGTTTAAAGCACAGTGAAGATGTCTATCTGGCCCACTGGGGAGGCAGGATAAGGATGTGATCCTGGCTTTACAGATGCAGACACCACGTATCTACCTGGTACCAACGCTGCACTAGACTTGGGGAAGCAAAAGCAAATGCTACGAACCAGGGTAAGCTCCAAGCTAAGCCAAAGCAGAGCTGGGGCTCAACACCAGGCTTCTGACCCCTGCCCCCAATTCCCATTTCCCATCACACTGCACAGGGAGCCAACAGGGGAGGGCCTCACAGCTGAAAAGCGCTGAACAACCGTGAACTTCAACACAGAGGCAGCTCACTTGTCAGCAAAGGTTGATAACTTCTCACACCTCAAACATAACTATTTCCAAACTTAATCCTAGACCAGTGATGGTGAACCTATGGCACGAGTGTCAGAGGTGACACATGAACTCATTTTTTGGTTGATTTTTCTTTGTTAAATGGCATTTAAATATATAAAATAAATATCAAATATATAAGTCTTTGTTTTACTATTGTTGCAAATATCAAAAAATTTCTAATGTGACACGGCACCAGAGTTAAGTTAGGGTTTTTCAAAATGCTGACACGCCGAGCTCAAAAGGTTCGCCATCACTGGCCTAGACAGTCCTCTGAACTGCCCTAAGAGGCAGGTTTTCAGCGGAGGAAACTGAGACCTGGGGGGAAAGTGGTTCACAAGCAATCACACCAAGGGTCAGTCAGGTCTCAAGGTTCCACTTGGCCAGCCCTCCTTTCCTGTGCTCCTACTGTGTGCAGGCCCTGCGCTAGGCATGAGGACCTGGAGATGAAGCTGGTGTGGTCAGACTAGTGCCTGAGGCAGACACACAGCAGGCGACTTCATACCCCGTGGCGATAGTGGGGCAGCCAGTCATCTGAAGGCACCTGGGACCTGCTGAGTCACATTCCAACATGAATAAGGGAAATAGAGGTGTGCCACCTATCACGTGGGCCAGGGCTGCCTCCCCAGGAAGGCCTCTATCTTAGGGTGACCTCCCAAATTAAGCTCCACCATTGCAGACAGCGGGCTGACTAAAGGTTACCTCTGATTGTCTAAATATAAGTGGCTGCCTAAATCAATTAATCATGAGTCAGCTAGGCAAGGCGGGCAGCGTGTTATATAGTGCAAGCCCCAGGCCAGGGTCTAGAGGAGTGGGTTAGAATCCAGGTGCTGAAACCTTATAGCTGTGACCTCAGGCTGGTCACCCATGTCGGTGTCCTGCCTCTTGACCTCCAAAATACACCCAAATCTGGCCATTCTTCTCCCCTCAGTGCTAACCTTACTCCATGCCACCATCACCTCTCCCGAGACCACTGCACCAGCCTCCTAACCCATGTCCCACTGGTTACTCCACCACGTGAGGACCTCACTGCCTTTCTCCTGTAAGTGGATAAATCCAGCCCGCTCACCGTGGCCTTCACGGCCTCAAGACTGGCTCTGGCCCACCTCCCTGACCTCCCTCTCCCCTCACTCATGACTCCATGGCCGCCGGGGCTTCTTCACCCCTTCAGCGTGCTGGCCCTTGCGTCTGCTCTTTATTCTGCCTGTTCAGCACCCCTCAGACCTTCGCCGGGCTGCCCCCTGCACATCCTGTTCCCAGCTCACATTCTCTCCTTAAACAGGCCTCCCGCCACCAGCTGCACAGCCCTCTCCTTCCCATCATGTCACCTGCGACACCTCACAGCCTCATCAGCACCTGAAATTACCTGACCTGTTCACAGACACATCTGCCAGCTGCCCGCACCTGCCATGGGGCCTGCTCAATGTGTACGTGGGGGTTGATTGGGTGCTACTTTCTTCAACAAACTCGGAGCCGGGCACACAGAGACCAGGGGTTGGAAACGCAGCTTCCGAGCCAGCCTCCCGCCTGGACCCGACCAGCTCTATGATCTGGAAAAGTTATTTAGCAGCTGTGTCTCAGTGTCCTCAGCTGTGAAACAGAGATAATGAGAGTAGCCAACAGTAGGAGTGTGAGGAGGATTAGATGTGAGTGCATGTAAAAGTATTTTTAAAAAATGGAACTGTTAAGAAAAACCCCAGAACCTGAAACAGTAGGTGCTCAGATAATCAGCAACCACTATGGTCCTCTGCTGCCTGCACTTTCCGCTGAGACTCGCTGGTCTCTGTCGGTTGTGTTGTCTGTGCAGTAACTGGCCGTTCTTGTGTTCATCTTCCCTGAGAGACTGTGAGTCCTGTCCCTGAGAGATTTGCGTTCCTTACAGATGAGACTGTGTCCTCAATGCCCAGTAGAGGGCCTGGCCGGGAATCAGAGCTTAGTGACCGGATGGAGAGAGGGCAGGAGAGGCGAGGAAAGAAGGAAGATGGAGGAAGGGAGGGAGAGAAAAATCAGAGTGTCCAGGATATAGCTAAATTTTTAGGGAGACCAATGACACCCTGTCTCTTTGCTGGCCCCCAACCCTCCCCAAACACCAGAAAGAAGCTGGAACCAGTGTCCCTCACGGGTCTGCACGTCACTAACTGCTCTGGGCACAATGCAGGGCTGCACAGACTGTGCCCCAGCCTTGACCTCTGCTCTGCACACAGCAATGCTCCCTTTCCATCTCCCTGCCTTTGTTCCAGATGCTTCTGCTTCCAGAAGTATCTCTCTTTACACATTTGCATCTCCATGTCTGATGGACCCTTCTGGGCCCAATGCAGTGACCCTTCCCTAGAAACTCTTCCCTGACTTCCGGCCATGCCTCCTCCCCACAAGAATGAGCTCCCTGACACATGGCCTGCCCCCCTCCCATGCCTGCCCATGCACTGCACCGTGTCCACGGGCTCATTTGCTGGTAATGGGAGCTCTTCTGGGACTAGGTGCACGTCCGCTCCTGGGTCCCGGAGCCCAGCCTGGGCCTGGCACGGGAGCCCCGGTGTGTGCTGAGCTGAGCCGTGCTTGGTCCACCGTAGCAGAGGACAGGACAGTGGGCCCCCCGCCCCGCCCCAGCGTTTCTCTGCAGCGACCTACCTCGGACGATGCTTAGTTTGTGAGGCGAGAGGGGCGGCTTAGGGACAGCATCTTTCTTTTTTTTTGTGGCAACTCCTGTGACGCTTCTGTTCTTCAGAACATCTGTTCCCCAAATCATGACTGCCAAGTTCTTCGTGTACTTGGAGTCTCCCTGGGTTACTTGTAGCTGGTGCCATTTCTCCTCGTCAACCCAGATCCCGCTTCCCAGATGGACCTGGAAGGGACAGGAATGCAAGCACCTGCTCAGTCGGACAGCATGGCAGCTGGAAGCTTCCTCGTCCTTTAAAACACAACGCTAAGGGGTCCGTCCCGTAAATGCTACATTAGCTTTCTTTAGGAAAATGCGGTCCTCACTTCCTGCATACCAGGCCTTACGCCTGCACTTCACATCCACTATCTCGATTCTTCTTGGCACCCCTGGGAGGGCCACTATTTTCACTGCAGATGGAAAACCAGGTTATGGAAGGGGAAGCAATGGGCCCAAAGTCTCTCAATGAGGCAGGTGCAGACCTGGAGTTCTCAACCAGATCACGGTAGCGCAGGCCACTCAGCCTGACCAGGCTTCAGGCCAACACCTGGGCAAGTCCTTTCTCTGCGACACTTTAGAGAGACCTCTCTCCTTCTACGGTTAACACCCTGGGATGCACATCCTCCTAGCACAGAGGCTCTCTAACATGGTCGCACACAGGTTTGCCTGGCGAGCTGTAAAAAAAGGCTGGTGCCAAGGCGCCACGTTCAGAGATTCTGAGTTATCTCGTCTGGGAGGGGCCCAGGTACCAGGATGGCTGAAGGCTCCCCAGGTGACCCCAGTGTACAGCGGGGTGGGGGCAGCACCCAGGCTCTGCCACTGATTAGACAGTGTGTCTGTGCAGGTCCTTCCCTGTCTCTGGTTCCAGTTTCCCTGAACTCGAACTAGAAAAGTTGGATTCATCTTTTCTTTTTAATATATTTTTAAAAATTTTAATGATTTCAGAGAGAAAGGGACAGGGAGAGAGATAGAAACATCAATGATGAGAGAGAATCATTGATTGGCTGCCTCCTGGGGATCGAGCCTGCAACTTGGGCATGTGCCCTTGACCGGAATTGAACCTGGGCCCCTTCTATCCACTGAGCCAAACCAGCTAGAGCTGGACTCATCTTTGCGCTCCTCTGGCTCAGAACACCTAGGATTTTACGTTAGATACAACTCCAGAGTCCGATTCTGATGGCACAGAGCACAGAACGCAATTGCACGCTCCCTGTACAGGAGCACTTGCAGAGTTTCAGCGCAGCCAGTGAGCTGCAAGCTTGGAAACTTTTTCTCCTTCCTGGCTCTTTTAACAACTCAAAAAACATTTGTTAACATTAACCGTCAAAAAATAGAGTTTGACTCCGACGTGGCCATTTATGTCGTGTTTCTGCTGAGTCTGTGGAGGGTGAAGAGGCCGCTGTGGGGAGGGAGGGAGACAGCCGCTAATAAGCCAAACTTCCTAAGGCGAATGAAAAGGCTCTGCCAAAGGTCCCTGTCTCCGGGAAGACCTGCAGGTCGCCACCAGGGCATGGTCAGGAGATGTCTCGGGAGAAGTCCTGGTCTGACAGACGGCACACACACCCACTGGTCAAAGATGATTAAAGGTCTTTCTGCTGAGGCTTGGCTTGGAAAGGAAGGTGAGCACTGCACAGTGGCAGACGGGTCAGCCAGCAGCACTCCTCCTCCACCAATTACCGAGGTTTTAGCACCACTGGAAAAAAAGCTACACAGCGCACCCATGGCTGTCAGTAAGCAAACAATCCACCTGCCACATCTGATGTCACTTCCTTTTGCTCAAAAAGATCCTCCGGGCCTCTGCAGGCCTGACATCAGATAACCAGACCCACCTGCCTCCTGGGCCGCAAACTTCAGGGCCGCCCATCTGTTCACAGGGCTCAAGGAGGTAAGCGAGCCTGGAGTGCATGTGCTGCCTGGGGCTGGCCGGGCAACACTAGCCCAAGGTCAAGTCTGAACTGTTCTCTGCAGTCTGCACTGCGGGGGTAGTCTGTGCCAGCGCAAGCATACTGGGGTCACGTGCCCTGTTGCTCCCTGCTGGCCCCAGTCACCTCCCCCATGACACTCCAGAGCTAACCACGCAAGCTCCCAGAGATCGAAGAAAAAAAAAATTTGAACAAATTCAGAATTGGAAAACCACAGAGACGGAAGATAACTTCAGTTTTCAGAGGTCTCTGCTCTTTTCTATCCCGGGCCTTGCTTATTGTTAAAAGAGAGATGACAGTCATTTTAGCCAAAGTTCTACAACAGAAGGGGGCACAGTTTTGAGCACCTATAATGAACCAGGCATTGTACCTTCAATTTATTTATCCTCATACTGACCTTAAGGGATGAGAACAGGTAGAAATTATTCCCATTTCACAGACGTGAAGAGAGACTCAGGGGACTAAATCATTTTTCCTAAGACATATTATCAATAAAATTTAGAATAAAGATTCAAACCCAAATCGGTATGACCCCGAAGCCACCTTCCTGCTGCAGCCAGTGTCATGGTGGAAACAGCAGGTCCATCAACATTCACTTAGTCGTCCTTCCTCTGCACCTGCCGGTCTGTCCCTGGCAGCCCCGCTGCACACAGGGAACCCGGGCAAAGCCGCAGGCTGGCCTGCCGGCCTCCAGTCCCTGCTGCCTCATCCCACCCTGTAACCTGCCAGACTGACTTCCCTAAAACAGAGCTTTCCTTGTACTAGATGAATTCCGCAGTCTCTCTCAAAGTCTGTGGAAGACATGGTTCACGTCAACCCCTGGAGTCTCAGATGGCTCCCCGTTCGTTGTCCCATCAAATCTGACCTCTGCTGGCTTCAAAGGCCTCGAGGACCCTGTTTCCTAGCGTTTTCCTGCTCTGGCCATCACTCTAGGAATCTCCCGAGCACTTCCTTTCCTCCTGCTTCCATTGTGCACCCTGAAAGCACAGGCCTGGAGCCTCTGTCCAGGTGTGGATCCTGGCCAGCTCTTCTACCTAACAGCTGAGTATCCTGGGCAAATCACTTGACCCCCACCTACTCCGCAGGGTGTTTTGAGAATTAAATGCAAAAACATAAGTAAAAAAAGCCTTCAGGACAGAACACAGCCAGTAACTTCCTTCCTTCGCCTTCTTTCCCCACCCATGTCTCTACTCACGCCTTTCCCCTGTCCAGGAATGAATAAAGGGATTGTCTTCTTAAACTTGCTAATCTTTCAAGCCCCAGTCCAAATACAGAAAACACTTCTAACTACTCTGGGGCTAAGTTCTACCCCAGAGCTAGGTTCTACTCCCTCTGGATTTCTAGCCTAGCGAGAGCCATCGCCACCTGAATCAGCCTTCACAGCGCATATCTGGGGAGGGGTCAAGGCTCTGCATCTCCGTACCCTGCGAAGTGATCAGGACTAGTTCAAACACAAAGTAAGAAAATGATGGCATGTTTAATATGTTTTCAGGGCACTGGCTTTCAGTTATGATGAGTTGCTGTGCTTTGGAGAAGAAAATCTTTTCTGTGACATTCACTCATACAAGGCCAACTTCATAGCACAGAGAGAAATGTAAGTAAGACCATCACAGGTATCTGCTGGGCATCTGGAACAAGGGCTCTGAGGGCAGCGAAGCTCAGGGTCACCTAGAGCAACGCCCCACTTTCAGGGATGCAGCAGAATAGACTGGAAGGAGCACTGGCCTGAAACCAGGAGACCTGGCTTCTTGCCTCTAACCTGTTGTACTATTGTAGACGGGTCTCCTGGTGTATTTCCCCGTGAGTATCATGTATACATTAGACTGTTTAAATGTGAATGGTCTTTGTGGCTTTATGATTTGATGAGTTTTAGAAATAAAATATTTAGACAAAGAAAAGCAATGCACTTTATTGAAATCAGACGGTAACTTTTGTGGCAAGCACCATTCACATAAACCACAGTTCGCTATTGGTCAAGGGAGGCTGTTAAAAACATGATATCTGGTAGGATGGAACTTGATAAAAAATGTCTTTGTGGACTGTTTTGTAGGACAACCGTAGTTTCCTACTAGGAAACAGATCCCATTTTAACACTCTAGGCTTTGCAGAGATGAAGGCCTTTGTTCAGCAGGGGAAAGGAGGAGGGGTCAGAGAGACAGCCCAGCCAAGAACAATGAGGGCTACTTCTGGGATGTGGGCGCTGCTCTGGGGAACTACCACCCACTTCCAGTATGTCGCTCCTTTCTCTCCCTTCATCCATTTCTCTGCCTGACCACAGACTAGTTGCAAACAAAAGCCAGGTTAGTAACACGTTGGCGCCAATCAAAGAAAAAACAAAATCGGCATTTTCAAGAAATGTTGTGCAAGCCACGTGTGAAAAAAATTAAGTGGGATTTAAGAGACCCATTTTTTGGAGGAAAAGTGATAACTTTGCAAAAGAAGCCCCTGTCATCCTCAGAAACTGTCCATCAGTTTTCAAAGCAAGACACACAGGATCTCTCTTGGAAGCTACTTTAAGAAAAAGTCCCTAGTCATTCCACAATGTGATCATGACGAAAAGGAAGTCAGGAAAGAAAGAACAGTCCTTTCTTTCCTTTATCTTCAATTGGGAAGAGCTCACCAAGCTTAGATATACTGTCTGAATCACCAAAGTCCTAGGGAGCATGGACCACATCCACCTTCCCAGACATGGAAGCTGAGGCCGAGAGGGGGCAGGACCGGCCTGGGTCACACAGGTAGGACAGAGAGAGAGCCAGGCTTAGAAGTCAGGCTCCGGGCTTTCTGCTGCCACCTTGCCCCTGCTGTTGGCTGAAACAAGGAGATGCAGCATGGGCCGATGGCCTGGCCCATCAACTCTGCCTCTGCGGGGAGGAAGCGCCCAGTGGGCTGGCACCACATCCGAGAGAGCTCTAAAGACCACAGCTTTCTTTCCTCAGCTTGACTATATTTGCCTTGGCTCAGTCTGGCCAGTTGCGGGGATAAATCTGGACAAACCCAAATGCAACCTTTTCTTTCTCATCAGCCCCCCGGGGAAAAGAACTGGGTAAACAGAGACCTTTGAAGCCCGAGGCAAGGAAAACGCACTGACACTGATGCTTCTCTGGGGAGAAGAAAGGGGATGTCTGCAATACACCCGATGGTGGCAGAGAACACAGCACTGGGACGGAGGAATTTGACCGGAGCCTGGATAAGGGGCTGCACTGTACCTCTTCCAGGGTGAGTTCACTTGGCTGTTAGACCAGTTTTCTTCCCGCCCTGCTGCCCTATCTCCCTGTGACTGACTGAACGACTTCCAAAGGCTATTCCATTGCTTTTAATTACTAACAGCATTGAGGTTTTCTTTCATGATCCTCCCCCTCCCCACAAGGGTCTAAAAGACAAGCTGAGGAGTCATTTGTGGGCTGACCACCACTCAATGTTCAGCTTGAAAGCGACGCAGGGATGAGACTCAAGTCTCAGTCACCTCTTGTGTCCCTGGCACCCAGGTCAATGGATACATATGGACTCATGATCTGTCACTCAGTTCACTTCTCGTTCACCTTAGAAATTTATGCATCTGCTTTCATGGAAGGGTAGGGCAGTTTTCAAACTATAACTTAAAAAATCTTTCCCACTAATAAGTGATTTTAAAATGTCAGTTTAGTTTTGGCTCAATATTTACAAAACAACAACAAACCAAACCAAACGATGAAGAAAAGAAAAAAGTCCCAGTACAGGTCCACTTGTGATAACACACTGATTCTGGAAAGCGTCCCTTAGGGACAGGCCGGGAGGCCACCCGGCCCGCGCTCGGGAAGCCCCGCACCCGCTCCATCTTTACTCTGACTGACAGGCACTCGCAGGGAAGCGGTATTGAGCTTGGCACACTACCTTGCCATTGTCTAGGATATACTTGTCCATGACAGGTGCAGGAGCGGGGTAATAGGACGACGTATTTGCTTCCTCACTGAAAGTGCTCCGTAACTCCGGCTCGGGCTCGAGACATTCTGACTTTACTTTTTCCAAGTCAATGGCGGGACCTAGGCAGTTAAGAAAAGAGATCTGTCTAGAACTCCAAGGAAAATAAAATGCAAATATTTTTAACTATGCATCTATCAGTACATAGTGGCACAAAATACACCTATATATATATACTGGCTTATTTTTGTCCATTGGACTACACTTAAACCCAGGCTTGAAACTAATATGAGGCATGAATGTTACAAGCAAAGAATTGGAAAACTGGAATTCAAGAATGGACTAGACTTTAAGTATGAATGAGAAGCACTCCTCCTGGTGTCTCTGTCTAATGGACATGCAGGAGAATCCGTTTCCTGCACAGGAAAGAGGTCCTGCTAAGACTGGGTGGAGAAGGGTGCAGCTACTGCAATATGAAGATTGTGCATTTGCCCAAACCCCCATTTCTCCAGCCTACAGTGGAACGGACCACAGCAGATGAACAGAGGTTAAGGGAAAAGCAGAAATGCAAAGGCCTTCCCCTCCCCAAGACCTAGTATCTAAACAGGAGCATTTTAACCAAGAAATTAAAACACAATACAGATTAGGCCCGTGATTGCCTGATCCAGCAGCTACCCTGATTTTTATTTAAATGCAATCAACACAAATTATGTGCAGATTAACAGGGAAAGAAAGCTAGATAAATGGTGGTGGTTTCTATGGGGGATATGATTTTCTCCATTAGCTTGCAAAAATGATAGACTGCTTTTTAAATCACCTATTGTGTCTTGATTACCAAAGGGCAGAGAAACAGGATGAAAATGAGTAAATAAGGCTGAATGATTTGGTTAACTTGCAGGAGAGCAACTCCGAGGGCCAATGGAGAGTTGAGCAACCTGGAAATTCACCCTAGACCAGCGGTTCTCAACCTATGGGTCGCGACCCCTTTGGTGGTCGAATGACCCTTTCACAGGGGTCGCCTAAGACCATCCTGCATATCAGATATTTACATTACGATTCATAACAGTAGCAACATTACAGTTATGAAGTAGCAACGAAAATAATTTTATGGTTGGGTCACAACATGAGGAACTGTATTTAAAGGACCAGAAGGTTGAGAACCACTGCCCTAGACAGACATTTCAGGAGTTGACTGGGATCAGATTTAGCTGTTGCCACACCAGGTCCCCCTGGCTATGCATATACCTGCAGTAACAGATGAATTTCATGGTCGAAACTTCGCTGACCCAACAATGTGGACAACCCAGTACAGGGCTCTTTACTTACTAAAGACCTGACCACCAATCTGGTTGTGATTCTACGTTCAATTGCCACATTCTAGACTTTCGCTGGTGGTAGGGGCGGTGTTGTTAATTTTATTATGAAAATTCCTCATGACAGGCCTTCCCACAACAAGAATATCATTCCTGAGTTGCTGGCAGCTGCCATCTGCAGGAGAGAGTCTCTGCAGTTTCCACGATTTAAGCTGAATGCAAGATGTCTGGGTGCAGAAAGGCTTGGCTCATCCTGTAGAGATAGTGCAGAGCCCACTCCTGGCTCTGTGATGCTTGGATTGTGCAACCCAGGTGAGTGGCTGGCAGCATCAGAAGCTGGCAGAGTGGAGGACTGACAGCATCTAACTGTTCTAACATCCTCTCCCAATAGTGCGCTACCTACTCAAGGGCTGAGCCTCGGTCGGACTCTTTCCTCTGTCCCCAGCACCTGGCACTGAGTAGGTGCTCTCTGAATGTTAGTTAGATGAATAAAAGAATGGCAACAATGAACGAACAGTTCCAAAGTTTCAGAAACAGAAGCCAAAGCTTTTCCTCTGTGTGAGATCTCAGGGTAAATTTCGGAGATGCACACAAACTTCAGTGAAGTGTCTGATCTTCCTTAGAGCAGGAAGAAGTATTTCCGTTTCCCCTAAATGGCATGGCTGACTGGGCACCGGAGGTGTCCTCCAGCTCTGACATTCAGTGACAGGCAGAAGACATGGGTCGAGAGGAGGTCCATGTGGCCAGCATCACGGTCATCTGGTAAGACTGTGTCCTTCCTCTAAGTTTCCTTCTCCTTAGATGAGAGGAAGGTGTGGGACAGGAGAATGCATCTAGTTCAGACTCTGTCTGGTTCTCTCCATCTATCCCCCAATGGCTGCCAAAGAGATCTCCACAGGACTACGTCCCCCCTTGCTCAGGCTCCCCATAGCCCTCCAAATGAAGTCACACCCCAAACCCTCCTTAAGGCCCAGAACCAGCCTCCTCTCCACCTCAGGTGCTCATGTCTTGCTCTTCCCCAAACCTCTGCCAGGTCCCTCATATGCAGTGCTGTCCAGGCCTCTGTCCTCTGGGTTTGAAGGCCACCTCCTCTGCCTGCCAGGCCTCTGGTCCGACTTCAGAGTGAAGCGTAGGTGTCTCCTTTGTGAGGCCTTGCTCTGATCGCTACCAGGTAGGAGGTTTCTACATTACAAATGCTCCCAGCAAATTAATGTCTGCAGCCAACCGCTGTCCACATCAGCCCGTGAAGCTCCTCAACAGCAAATATTTGTCTGCAATTGTGGCACCGAGGACAGTGCCCAGCACATTGCAGGCTCTCCGTAAACTCATGACATGAGAGAGGGGAACGGGGAACGAGTAGTGGGGGAGGAAGGGACTTAATTAAATGGGCTGGAGCAAAGATTCTGAATTAAGCCCGCAGCTGAGGTGAGCCGCCTGGGGGTGGAGGCAGGGGCGGATGGGAAGCTATCCTCAAATGTCTGAAATCTTTTCTGCGTTCAAAACATCTATAGGCCTTTTCAGGAAGTAGAAACCAGGGTTGTTCAACAGAAATTGGAACCATCTAGCCAGGAGAAGGGACAATTCAGATGGCGATGGAGGGACAGGTAAGGGACATCAGAGGCGCACAGTCAGGCTCCATTCCCAGTGGGCTGGCCCACCCTCCCACACATGCACCTTCCTTCCTGCTCGCAGTCTCTGCTTGTGCATCCCTGTCTGGGTCATTCTACCCCCAGGAAAGTCCACCTCTCCAAGCTCCACCAGGGACTCAAGGCCAGACTGCAATGCCACCTCTCCCATGAGGCTGCCCCTCCCTTCAGAGAGAGGTAAGTCAGTCTCTCCACCCCTCGGCTTGGAATTTGGGGTTGGAGACCCTGGAGCATAAGTTCTGGATTTGCCATTTCTGTTTAGGCGAGCTGTGAGCTCCCTCAGGCTCCCTGTGGTAGTCACTGTCTTATGTCAGAGTCCAGGGTCATCACGGCACCTGATTCAAATTCTACCCTCAGCAGGTATTTTACACATCGATAATCGCCTAACCCAGTGGTCGGCAAACTGCGGCTCGCGAGCCACATGCGGCTCTTTGGCCCCTTGAGTGTGGCTCTTGCACAAAATACCACGTGCGGGCGCGCATGTACAGTGCGATTGAAACTTCGTGGCCCATGCGCAGAAGTCGGTATTTTGTGGAAGAGCCACGCTCAAGGGGCCAAAGAACCGTATGTGGCTCGAGAGCTGCAATTTGCCGACCACTGGCCTAACCTCTCCGACCCTGCTGCCTCACCTGAGAGGAGGAATGACAACAGCAACTTGGCCAGATGGCAGATTAAATGACGTAACCAAAATATGAAAGGCCTACATCGGCACCAGGCAGAGTGGCTGCTCAGTAAATAGTGACTCACCCTCCACCCTCCCACACACACGCGTTACACTCGGGGCTCAATTGGTCCAGTGCTGGACCGCAGCTGCTGTGAGCCAGGGGCCCTGCTGGCCTTCTTTAGCCCCAAGTGCCCTGTGCAGGCCCAGCTCAGAGCAGGCCCTTTCCCTGTTCACACACCCTCGTTCCCCCACTCACACTGGTCTCCCCAGGAGGTACTGGGATCTTCTGGCTCTTAAGGAAACTGATTCCTAACGTTCATGGTCAGCAATGTTGAACACCCAGGAGCTGCTAGTTGTTAGCCCTGCTCTCTGCACCTGCCTTTCTCTGGTGTTGTGCATAGAAGGTACCTGGTGCCTCAGCCCAGCAAGGAGGGCAGACCAGCAAGGGCACATCTTGGAAGGGTTTTGTCAGGAGACTTGGGTGTGATCCCAGCCACATGACCTTAGACAAGTCACCTCAACTTCTCGTGCCTCACTTTCCTACCTGCCACATGGGGCTCACCGCTGGCCACCCTGCAGGCTGACTATGCCTCTGGGAGCTCAGCACCAGGGCAGGCATGGAACGGAGGCTCAGAAAGGGCAGATAAATGAAGGAATGAATCAATCAGGAAAGCGAGTGTCTAGAATTACAGAATCAGAAAGAAAAGGAACAAAAAAAGGTTTTTTGGGGGGAGAGAAGGGAGGGCCTCAGTGCTTTTCATTTAAGGCAGGGGGAACACTTCATTGCAAATTTTAGTCGGCTCTCCTCCCAAATGTTGGCAATTTACATCTCATTACAACAAACGCTGCAGATTGCTGTTTTGCTTTTAAAGATTTCAGAGGCATTGTTCTCCTTCAAACACATGTGACCAAATTAGCCACAATAACAGGCACTCGTGCTAGAGACGGCATCGTTAGATCTGGCGCAGATATTTTAAGCAACAAAGGAACTTTTTTCACTTGTAGGAAGAGTAGAATTTTTTTTTTTAAGTCTTTTGATCCACTTCAGGTTTATTTTGGGGGAAATACAGCTTCCATGGAATGAAACCTCTCAGCGGGGTGAAGGAAGCTTTTAAAAACATATAAAAGGTAGTACTTGTCCTTTCATTCAGTCATTCCCGAACCCAATGATCGCACAGCTCTAGGCCTGTCAGAGCACTGGAGACCAGAGAACAGTAAGGCGCGGCCCACCCAGTGCAGGAGAAGATGAGAACTGAACACGTGAAGCACTGTCACATCCACACAGACAGCGGGGGGGGTTGATGGGCAAGCACTGGACAAGGTGTTAGGAAACACGGTGCAAATCCCAGTTCTGTTACTTCCTTCCCCTCTTTAAGCCGCAGAGGCTTTTTCCATGAAATGGGAATCATGGCAGAGGGAGGGGCTTGGTAATGCTTGTTGGCACAACAAAAAATGAAATTATACCTTTCTTTGTCCTTGTTTATCTTAAATTGGATGCT